CCTCCTTTCTCCCCTAAGCTCCAAGGGCCCCTCTTTTGCTATAATTTATTTCCAGAGCCCATTTCTTCTACAGCTCACTTCTTCTACCTCTGTGACTTTCTAAATAAACTTTCTCTTATAGTTTGAGTTTTGACTCTGAATTCTTAGCCAGAACTCAAGAACTAAGATTGTTGAACCAAGGTTAATACCTAGTGCCATTTTCCCACCACTAACAAAAGTATGTGAATGACCTTCATACTTAGACCAGATTGAAGGTTATTCCCATAATGATCTCTTTCTCTCTCCCTCTCTGTTTCTCTCTTGCTCTTGCTGTTGCATTCTGATACACTTTCCTGTGTGAAAGAGAAAATGGTGGAGTTATAGCTGATGTACGGGGTCTAGTGAATACCCCAGGTTCTCAACAAGAGTTTGCTGTACATGTGAACATCATTGCCGTCATGTACTCTGAGATACAAAACACATGATTTTCAGAAGAAAAAAAAGAAAGAAAACCAGAGATCTACTCACTAAATTGTAAGCTTCTTGAAAACAAAGTGATACAAAAGTCACAACTGAGTTTGTTTTAGAAATGAATGAGTGATATATAAACACATACTCATGGTCACCTTTCGGTCTGAGGAAAGTAACATAATATTAAAATAATCTTTCAAAATTTGCATTTATATGCTTTCCTGTCTTCTGCAGTGTTAAATATACCTTGATAGCAGCTGCCAAAATCGAAGAGCAAGGACTGAATCTTTCAAAGTTTTCTCCACTTGGTCATCTTGTTCCCTTGTTTCCTCCCCAAACCATTGTTTCAACTCATGGTAATGACCCCAGTGCAAAAGCAGACAGGGAGAGGAGCGTTTGAGTGGAAGAAATGACAGTAAGAAACTCTGGGGCCAATAGAGAAAAGATAGCCTCATATCCAGAACTCTGAAGAGTATGCTAAATTCCACTTTTGAAAGCAGATTGAGGTAAATAACTGTCTATAAGGTATGGTATAGATATTTCTAATAGGTTTCAGTATCCACTCTTCTAATGCATGAATGTAGTTGATCCAAATATTCCCAAGTATGACACTTCAATTATTAAATGCAAAACTGAAGAGAATAGCTATTTATGTTCATAAGTCACTTAAATATTAGTGCGAATAAATTTTAGCTCAAGGCCAGTACTAGGCAACATCCTTAAGCTTTTCCAAAAAGAAGGAACAAACTCAAACCGGAAATTTCTCACTAAGTGTTTCTTTTCTTGGTATTTTTCTCTTCACAGAAAAGCAAAGTCCGCTTCCTTTCTATTATTTTCTCATAAAATTTAAATCTAAATCATTCCAACCTAAAAAGATCCTATCAAAGCAAGTCAGTGACTACAGGACATAAAATGAGAGACCATGTCACAGAAAACTTTAGGAAGCATATTATCTGTAAAAAATTGGATAATAAAAAAAATACACATGAAACAGGAAATTGGTAGCCTCTGAGCCAGGATGACATTTTGGGGATCCTGCAGACTTCTTTAGAATCAAGTTCACTGCAGAGAACTTCTTGCTAGATCCTAGATGAATTCAGTTCCATAGCAGCTAAATCTTTAACATTTAGATTTCTGAGATGATGCCTGCTAAGCATGTGATGGATTAAGGAATACTTGTTGAATAAATAATTGACTGCTTTGTTGTCTTACTAACAAAGGGCCTAGACTTTGTATTTAGACAGACCTAGAATCAAACAATGAGTTGGCCACTTTCTAGATGTGTTATCAGTCAGTGTTCTTAAGTTTCAAGCTATAAAATTAAGTTCTGGCTAATTTAAGAGAAAACATTTTTTAAAAACAGATTAGAGAGCTCAGAGAATTGACAGGAAGGCTGGGAAAAGCAGCAGGACCAAGGGCAGTAGAAACCAAAGCCAAGGAGTGATTTATTGCTAGAGCTCTTGCCTCTGACCACTGGATAACATTGCAGCTGGACAGTCCAGGCCATTGCCACTAAGCTATTGTTTCTAATTGTCTTTGTTTCACTCCCTCAGCATTCAGAATCTTCAGTGGGAGAGTCTGTTGGTTGGGTCTGGGTCATGCGCCCTCACCCGGATATCCAGGGGCAAGAAGCAGAAGGACCTCCAAAGCTGGCCTCCATACTAGGAAGTAGGATGCATGCTGTAGAGACCACCAGTTTTCTCTCTGGGAGACATTCCCATTGAGAGGAAATTGGTGCTGGGCAGCCAAAGAACAAATTAAAACCAAACCCAGAAATGTCCACCACAATTTGTGAAACCTTAACTATCTCCTGCTTTGTACATGGAGTATTAGCTCATGATATCTTATGCGATTATCTCAGAAGGCTGTTGAGAGGATTAAAATGGCTAATGATTCCTTAATGCTCAGTTCAGTTCATAAATGAGAGGCTTCATAATGGTTTTTCACCATAATTTGTTCCTA